CAATGACAGCACTGTGACTGGAGTAATATTCTGAATGACCAGCAAAATCATGAAGAATGATGTTACCCATTGTCCTGTGTTGTAGTTTATAAGGAATGATGCCAGCAGTACAGGGCACTACCCCTCCAACATTTCTAATAAAACCAAGAACAATAGAACCAGCAGCTGTGTCATTGATGACATGACTAAGAGTACTTTTACCAGCTCCAGGATTACCCACAAGGAGAACGTTAACATAAGAATCAATTGGATGAGATATTTTAATGTCACCAAACTTCTTGAAGACAGCAAAGACAGTATCACTATAAGCTAGTTGTAATGGTGTCCTCCCCTTATTGTCTTTAGCCAAAGGATCACAATTACCAGTTGATAAAAAGTATTCAACAACTACAGGTGTACCCCAATTAGCAGCATAATGAAGAGGTGTTTGTCCATTCTTATCAGTAACCATTATATCACAGTTACACTGGTTAATGAGGTACTTTAAAACATCTATGTAATTAATAGCACGATGAAGAGCAGTCCGACCTCTATTGTTAGTAGTCATTAGATTACAGTGACAAGTATTGATGAGGTATTTCATGACATCAAGTAATCCTTGTCTAGCTGCAGCATGTAGAATAGTATTTCCATATTCATCAGTGGCCATTATATCACTGTTACACTCATTAATGAGGTACTTTACAATATCTATATGTTCTTAACAGCACAATGAAGAACAGTCTCACCTCTATTGTTAGTAGTCATTGGATCATAGTGATGAGTATTGATGAGGTACTTCATGACATCAAGTAATCCTTGTCTAGCTGCAGCATGTAGAATAGTATTTCCATATTCATCAGTGGCCATTATATCACTGTTACACTCATTAATGAGGTACTTTACAATATCTATATGTTCTTAACAGCACAATGAAGAACAGTCTCACCTCTATTGTTAGTAGTCATTAGATTATAGTGATGAGTATTGATGAGGTACTTCATGACATCAAGTGATCCTTCTCTAGCTGCAGCATGTAGGATAGTATTTCCATATTTATCAGGAGTCATTATATCACAGTTACACTGGTTAATGAGATACTTTACAACATCTATGTGTTTAACAGCAAGATGAAGAACAGTCTGACCATCAGTATCACGATATTGTTCATCCATTATATGACCATTGATGTTCATGACCATACACTTCAAGACATCAAGTAATCCTTCACTAGATACATAATGAAGAACAGGGAAACCATACCTAGTATAGAACTCATCATTGGATCACAGCCACACAGGCTTCAATAAGATATTCAGCTATATCAACGTGATTACTTTTAGCAGCAGTATAAATACAGGATTCATTATAGTAGTAGTATTTATGTGGATCAAAACGGTAATTAGTGACGAGATCTCTTGTAACATCTAACCAGCCATTACTTATAGAAAGATAAAGCAGGCCAGGCTCATCCCGGGAAAGTACTTTATGATCCTGTAAACCTAGCAACCGAACAGCTTCTTCATGATCTCTTCTTTCAAATGCATACAGACAACGACTAGTTGAAGCTCCTCTGGAAGTTGCCATGTACCGCCGTATTATATAGGCGGTAGCATATAGATACACCCAATACGTACGGGAAATAACGTCATAATAATATTGTAAGACCTATTGAAATATTCGTGAAATATAGTTGTACAACTGCTCGTGAGTGCTTCATGAGGTAGCATAATACTCTATGGTAGTATAGGGTACCCATGGCAACTAGATTCCAGCAACACCACCACACCTTGAAGGCAAGATGGAGGATATCTGTACTGCTCCTCTCAGCACCTCCTGGGTCTATACTCCACTACTGTGGCGTCAGCGGCACAGCTACTAGTGTTGAGCTTACTATTTAGGTAAGTTGAGGTTTTAAAGTAGCTTTACAAACAATTATTGCATGCAGTTGGCAAGACATTATTATGTAATATATATATATATATATATATATATATATATATATATATATAATACATATTCATATGCTATTTACATAATGCTGGTAGTTGTAACTTTTATTTTGCTGTTATTAAAAATTAGTTATGCTACAAACTGTGTAGTCTTGCCCTAGTCTCGCTGCCCAGACCCTCCACCTGCAGTCATTGGGGTGGACGCCCCAATGACCGTAAACGGAGGGTCTGGGCAGCGAGACTAGTCTTGCCCCATCTATACCAAATCTTCAATTATAAGTAATAATGAACAGATTTGTAGCATCTTAATAGTATCTGTATTAGTATCTTAATAGACAACAGATTTCTGTTTTTTAACTGTAGTATAGATTAAGATTTTCACATGCATGCCGAGAAATGAAGTAATGGCTATGTGTGGGTGTCTTGTATTTGTGTTGTGGACAGACATGTACTACGTACATGTACATGTACATCACCATTATAATACGGAA